CAGCTTTTGAATTATTGAGGAGGTTGACTTGAGAAGCAACTCCTTGAGTATCTGCCTCACTAAAGTTGCCTTATAATAATTAAACTCTTTCTCTGCTGCAACACCTGCTAGCTCAGTGTTTTGGCTTTTTTTCCATGCAGCAGGCAAGAACCCAATTAGGTGATAACAACATCAAATATTATGGTCTCCAATCTGAAGATTTTGTTTATTGGAAAAAGCCATAAAATAAATAACTCCGTCCTACCACATTGGGATGAACCATATCCAGCAGCCCCACTTGAGGGGACATCTTCATTACTGGAGGTCTTCAATACCTTGCTCTTCAGATCAGGACAGGAAATAGATGAAATATTTATGTGGTTACCTTCAGTAATAAAAACACTTTTTAGATTTGGATTTCAAGTTGTTTTATTAATAACTGTCCTTATTTGCATCATGATAGCAAGATGTTAGAACTGATCCAACATGCTGCAGCTCCTTTGTAAGCAGATGGCCTGGTGAAGATCCCATTGCTATGTACCTTTGAGTTGCCACTCATTTTCACCTTGAGACCTCATGAAGTTGAGAAGTCATAGTGCTCCTTTTTCTCTCTGATGTGGAATGAGATTACCTGGAAATGAACCTTCCTAGTAAAGTTTGTCAGACTTACATCTAAAGCGTTAATCTTCAATGCTTTTGGAGAGAAAAATTTTAATCAAAAGGGGGAAATAAAAATAAAAAATAGCTCAGATCAGTCTGAACTATGTGAGCTCTGCAAAATGTATCAAGCCCAGAGAGACATGAGTATGAGACTTCAGTCGAGTACCCAGTCCGTGCCTAGGGGCAGTTGCTCAAAGGCATTTTGTTAGTTCTTTTCTTCCTTGTGGTTTTCTGACTAGCTGCTTCACCCACTATCTTAATGTTCCTGGGATTTTTGATACAAAGAATAATGTATAGCAAATCAATAGCTTATGTTATTTTAATGTCAGTTCTTGGTAAACAACCAAGGAATTGCCTCCTCTTATTTCTTTTTTTCTTTTTCCTTGGCTATGTCACTCCTGTATCCTGTTCTTTCCCTTAACAGCCCACTTGTAACTGCTGTAAAGTTGGAGCATATATCTAGGGCAACTTGAGTCCATGCTTCTGGGTTTCAGTCTTCAAACTTGACCCAAATAAACTCTATACTTAATGTTAATTTTGTCTCAGTTTTTTCTTTAGGTTGACTATCCTAGGGCAGACTTACTTACTTTCTGTATGCCTCCATTTCTTCATTTATAAGGTTATGTTGGCTCAGAAAATGATATCCCAAAGGCTAGTGCTTTGACAAGCTGAGATTTCTTAGAAGCTGCTTCAGAATCAAGGTCTGCGTTCCTCCCCTTTCTCTACAACCCCAAGCTCAGGGAGGGACTCTCTGGAATTTCCTTATCTGATCAAGAAAGCTTTCCGAAAGAAATTCAGTGGTCTTAAACCCTCTCCCTAAGAATCTCTCCAGAGATCAACCACTGAAGGAAAGAGAATAGGAGTCATCACCAAGCCCAGACAGACTTTTAATCTCTTCTTTCAAGTGCTGCTCCAAAAGATTAACTGAGGGACTTCATCTGCATAATAAGACAATCTTTTGCCTGGGTACAGTGGCTCACGCCTGTAACCCTACTACTGTGGGAGGCCAAGGCAGGTAGATCACCGGAAATCAGAAGTTCAAGACCAGCCTGGCCAACATGGTGAAAACCCATCCCTACTAAAGATACAAAACAGTCAGGTGTGGTGGCAGGCGCCTGTAATCCCAGCTACTTGCAGGAGAATCGCTTGAACTTCGGAGGCGGAGGTTACAGTAAACTGAGATTGTAGCACTGCACTCCAGCCTGGGTGACAGAGTGAGACTTTGTCTCTAAAAAAAAAGAAAAAGACTTTCTTTCTGTGCAGCTCTGCCCCTGACCTTTCTGTAATGTCTATTTCAACTTCCCAGGTCCATTCATTCTCCCTAATGATTTACTGCACCTCAAAAGATGTATCTACGTTCCCTATCTTCTCTCTCTTCTAAGAAAAATGGCATAGAAGCTTCTATACCATATTGGGTTGTTTAGCAATCACTCTGATTTTCCCTCAAGCATGTTAATAAATTTGTATGCATTTTCTCCTATTAATTTGCCTTTTGTCAGTTGACTTTCAGCAAATCATTAGAGGACAGAGAGAAGTTCTCTTTGCTCCTACAGTGAAATAATCTCCAGCTTTTTTAGTTTTAAAAGAATTAAATGAGATAGTGCAGGTAAAGCAGTTCAGAGTAGAACCTGACATGTAGTAATACTAGTTGCTAATGATTATTAAGTGCTTATTATGTGCTAGGTCAAAAATATTACATATTACTATTCCTCTTTGTCAAACAGGGAATGTTCAAAGAGTTAAATTTGAGAGCATCTACAGAGCAGGGAGTTTACCCAAACTCAATACTGAATACAGTGCATCAGAATCACCTGGAAGACTTGTTAATAAAACAGACTGCTGGTCCCCATCCCCAGATTTTCCTATTCAATAGGACTGGAGAATGCTGACTAAGAATACGCATTTCTAACAATATCCCAAGTGATGCTGATGCTGCTGGTCTGGGGACCAAACTTTGAGATACATGAGCATAGAGGTGAAGAGGTCACATTTTGTAATCAGAAGGATTCATATTGGAAGGTGAGCTTTAATACTGAATGGTCTTGGGAAAATTAATTTGTCTTTTTAAGCTTCAAATTCTTTGTCTCTAAATAGGTGTAATAGCAAGAGTTGTATGAAGAATTGAATTAGGTGAGACTTGTAGAACACTTGGCACACAATTAGTGCATAATATGCATTAGTTGTTGTTCCTATTCTGCTAACTTTTGGGCCACGCTCTGGACTTTTCTGTGCTTCTACCTCTTTATCTGTAAAGTGAGGATATTTATTATCTATATGGTATGGCAGTTGAAGGCACTCAACAAGATAGCCTCAGGTGCCTTTTATTTATTATTTTTAAACTTATTTTTGGTTCAGGTTTGTTATCTAGGTAAGCTCGTGTCACAGGAGTTTGTCGTACAGATTATTTCCTAGTACCTTGGGTGCCTTTTAAAAGTAAAAAGTTCTGTCTAAATCAGTGGTCCCAAACCATTTTTGGCACCAGGGACCAGTTTTGTGGAAGAAAAATTTTCCATGGACTTGAGGGGTGGTAGAAGGAGCGGGATGGTTTTGGAATGAAACTGTTACACCTCAGATCATCAGGCACTAGATTCTCCTAAGAGTGCTCAACCTAGATCCCTCACCTCTGCAGTTCACAACAGGGTTTGCATTCCTGTGAGAATCTAATGCCACTGCTTATTTGACAGGAGGCGGAGCTCAGGCAGTCCTGCTCTCTCACCCACTGCTCACCTCCTGCTGTGCAGCCTGGTTCCTAACAGGCCACGGACCAGTACCAATCCATGGTCCAGGGGTTGGGGACCCCTGCTCCAAATGTTACAGCTTTTAATGACCATCCTAGAGGTCCCCTCTTAAACAGGTCTTGGAATGTCTTCCTCTTGGGTTGAATTTGAAAATCCTCTGCTATTACAGGAGGTCTAAGACTCCTAATAGCTCTTTCAGACCTGATTCTCACCTTAAATTTTATTCCCCAGTTGGCTGCTCCTGTTCTCCACCAAAGCCTGAACAATGAGGTAGGAACATTCATGTTATTTCTCCTTCTCTCCTGGCTTGCCTTTGTTTATTGTTGATGTGTTATTCTTTGCGGGTAGACAGTTGTTTTCCTCCCCCTACTCTCTGTTCTGAGATAGGGAGAAATGTCAACTTGTATGTTGACTAAGTTAGTGGTCATTAGAAAGTTCTTTGGGAAAAAAAAGTCTTAAACTTTTTAAATCTATATGTCTTACAAATGATATTATCCGATTAAAGTGTAGACTTAGAAATATTCCCTGGTTTCTGAACTTCTCCCCTCTTATTGCACTTTGTTTCTGTGGTTGTATTGTCAGCTTTTGTGGTTTTTTCTCTTGTTGTTGAACTCTTTGGCAAGCCCTACGATATAGAAACTTCTTGGCTACCAATGATTTGCAGCAGGATAATAGAGATAGGAAACATATTTCATTGCCAACTCTTTCTTAAGACTGAAATAGGCCAGGCACAGTGGCTCATACCTGTAATCCCAGCACTTTGGGAGGCCGAGGCGGGTGGATCACGAGGTCAAGAGATTGAGACCATCCTGGTCAACATGGTGAAACCCTGTCTTTACTAAAAATACCAAAAAATTAGCCGGGCGTGGTGGCATGCACCTGTGGTCCCAGCTACTCAGGAGGCTGGGACGGAAGAATCGCTTGAACCCAGGAGGCGGAGGTTGCAGCGAGCCGAGATTGCGCCATTGCACTCCAGCCTGGCAACAGAGCAAGACTGTCTCAAAAAAAAAGAAAAGACTGAAATAGATGCCAAGTTTCTTCCAGGGGCCAAAGCGGAAAGCAATTTTATTTAAGATAATTTACACAAAGGTTGTTGCATTATTAAAATTGTTGAGGAACAACAATTGACACTTATTAAAGACAGGCAGGCTTTAAGAGGGACCATAAGTAATAAGTATAAGGACATCTGCAATGGGGTTTTGCAGTGGGGGAGAGAAATTAGATTTCAGCTTCAGCCAGGACAAGTGGGGATTAAATAAAAAAGGAAAATTAACCTTTCTGTTTAAGGCAGGAGTGGGATGGGAGGTCAGTGGATGAAATCTTACTAAGAGGAAGAGGAAACATCAAGGGTAAAGGGAATTCCTGCTGAAGGCAGGCCAGGGTGGTAAGATATCAAGGGTGGGTAATGTACCTAGGCTGGGGGATTTTCACTAACCTGACTTTAAACTGGAGTCTGTAAGGACAGAGAGGGAAGCCCAAGGATGGCCCTAGTCAAGCAGAGGACACGGAGGAATCTAACTAAAGTTTTGGTCAAAGGAGAAGTTATTGTCACAATGAGTTTTAGAAAAAAGCTTCATTCATATCAATAATCCTTTATTACAATAGTAAACTTTTTCTTGAAAGGTACTGGATCGGGAGACATTTTAGTGAGCATGGCCTTTGGGGTTTGTTGCCTCTTTCGGTGGGGAGGTAAGTGTTTGTTAACTTCTATACAGAACCATCCCAGTGTGCTTTTCTCTTATGACAGGCTTAAATTCTACCAGCTAATTTTTACTCTTCTATTAATAATGCTCCTTTTATCAGCAGCATCAAAATTCTTGCCAGTTCTCTGAAAATCTAGCTGTAGAAACTCTTCTGGATTTTAGAGGGTTTGATATAATTAGTTTCAATAATGTTTTCTGATAGTATTGTTAGAAAATCCTGCTTTTCCTTATATATGTGATATTATTTCAGATTTAAGATTGTGATGACTTTTGCTCAGGAACAGACTCTTAAATACAGTCTGAGATTTGTTTAATATATGCATGTTTCCAGACATACGAATACCAAAAAAAGAGGATTAACCATGCAAAACGTTGAAGGTTCCACTGACAGTTCTGCCTTAGTATTGGAAATAGCTATTGTGTCCATTGGCTTCTGAGCAGCTTTCTTAAACTCCTGACCTCCAGCGATCCTCCATCTTCAGCCTCCCAAAGCACTGGGATTACGTGTGAACCACTTTGCTGGCAATGAGCAGCATTTTTATTTGTCTGTATGTATATATGGACAGGTCCTCCTCCTGAGTAATAGGAAAACCAGGTTTGATTCCAGCATTATCTTATTTTGCTGTATCACCTTTATTTATCTTTATATTTAGAAATTTTATTTGCTGATTGCTTTTAAACTTGTGTCTTGGTTTCCTACATTCTTGATCCCAAGTTGGTCCTTGCAGCTCTAGCATTTTATGGTTATGGAAGATACATCAGCAAAATTACCAAATGATTAGTTCAAATTGCAATGCTCTCTTTTTCTTTAAGAATAAATTCTGTCAAACACATAGCTACTTTGGAAAAAGAAAATCTAGCTTCATAGGTCAACTTATTTTGTTAACCCACTTTGAATTCAGAAACTATTTTAAAAGGAAGGGTTGCTTTGATTTAATTATTTTATTTGTAAATCTGCTACAGAACTTTTTAAAAAACAATGGTTTCTGGCTGGGCACAATGGTTTCTGGCTGGGCGTGGTGGGTTACGCCTATAATCCCAGTATTTTGGGAGGCTGAGGCTGGTGTATCACCTGAGGTCAGGAGTTCGAGACAGCCTGACCAACATGGAGAAACCCCGTCTTTGCCAAAAATACAAAATTAGCTGGGCGTAGTGGCACATGCCTATAATCCCAGCTACTAGGGAGGCTGAGGCAGGAGAATTGCTTGAACCCGGGAGGCGGAGGTTTCAGTGAACTGAGGTCACACCATCGAACTTCAGCCTGGGCAACAGGAGTGAAACTCTGTCTTAAAAAAAAAAAAAAAAAAAAAAAAAAAGACAGTGAAAGGTTTCTGTGAGCAGGTTATAGAAAAATGAAATATTGGAGTTGTGAAGGACACTAATCTTTCCACTAAAATATGAAAGAAGCAAAAGGGCAAAGTTATAACACTGGAAATAGGCACTGCAGCCCTTTACCAAATGTCACACTGTCCTCAAATGTGTGAGGTGTCTCTGAAGGGCTCAGTGGCAATCCAGCCAGGGCAGTGCCTCTGAGAGTACACCAACACGGTTGGTAACAGATGACATTTCGGTTATTAATGAAGTAAAGAGCTGAAAAGAGGCATTTAGTTGGAGACGGTCAGCTGGAGAGTCTATTATGTGTACGCAATACTGTAGATAACCAACTTGGTACTTAAAGGATTAAAGGTTAAGACAACTATGTTCTTCATGATAATGTCCTGGAAGATTTTTCTTGTTTAAAAGCAATCACTTTTGGCCTTTCTCCTGAACAGACAGATGACAAAAATTGATAAGTGAGGAGCAGGTGAATAGAAGACAGAACACTCTCCTTCAACAAACTACAGTTTTATTTCTATACTAGTGAAAATGAATGCAAGATGCTATATAGATTTTTTTGACCAGTTACAAATATAAAAATATATTGAGCAACTACATAATTTAAATGGAAAGACTAAGGAAGTTTTTTGTTCAAATAGAGTTAGTTGGAAACACAATATTGTAGGTGGATGCTATCGTATAAAAAAATAGAATCATCTGCCATCTTAACGATTTTTAGAGAAAAAATAAATGGTATCCAAAACATAAAAGTGCTCTATTATAGAACATCATAAGTTCAGTTTCTGTATTTACTTACATTCTTTATGCTTCACACAAATGAAGGAACAGCTAGATTAATGTCCATGGACCACAGTATTATTGGGCACTGACTACCTAACATCCAAAGTATCAGACCGGAGCAATTTCAAAAAGTGCGTGTAGAATATCTAAGAGCTGTGAACTGACTTCCACAGGCTAGGAGTAGAGACAAGATTAAAGACTTGGTTCTTGTTCTTGAAGAATTTATAAGCACAATAGTCCTGCGTGGAAAACCAGAAATACTCTTCCAGTAGAGCACTGGTGAGACCTCCCGTCAGTGTGGCAGGTTCGGACATTCCACGAAGGCTGGCGCAGACTTTCCTCCTAACCTACAGATGGAATGCTGTCCAACTCCGCCACAAACTCGAAACCCTCAGTTGCATGTGCTCCTTTCTTGATCGAGTTCTTATCTATGCAAACAGCTATTAGAATACCTCAACATAACTGAAAGTTTGTTCTTAGCGTGAGGATAGTATTTCTTAAAACAGCTATACCAATCCTTATGACTGTTCTAGAAGGGACACATTGCATTTGTCTGACATTATTCACAGTTTTGAATAACTTATTTTGGTGTCTTATATAAGATCATGTGAATTGGCATACAGGTTATAAAAATAATCTTTGGTAAACCTGTTAATCTCTTATTTCCATTACTTAAGCCTCTATTTTTGGAGTATTCACCAACAATTTCTTTATTTAATAAGTGCATCTATATAGATAATCTTTAAAAAATAAAATGCCTTATTTGTGTTGCATACATTTATTCCAAGGGAGCCTCCCTACAAGTCAAGAGTATTCTCTTAGCCAGAAATACTTCTATTGCTAGAAACATTTTTAGAACAGAACAGATTTTTCCTGTTATCATGGCTGCATCAAATGTTATCCTGCATTTTAACTAAAATGGCCAAACATTTTCAAAGTCATCATGCACCACAAGAATCTAAGGCAGTGTGTCTAAAATGCCAAACCCAGTACATTTAGTTAAACATCTGGTCAATTCAAAAAGCAAAATAACTGATTCAATTGTTTAATCAGATAAATCATCTGGCCAACGTAGTCAGAGTGAATCCTCAAAAGGGCAACAATAATAGAAACGTATGACAAAATTGTCCAAGCACACCCAGTCCACACAGAAGAGGTGCCATTTTATCTTCCTGATGATGTCTGGTTAGATTCTCTTTTACAAATATTTTCTCTCTGTATTATTTCACTTGCTTTCTGCAGTCATGGTTTATAGATTTTTCCTTTGATTTGGAACATTCTTTGAATACCTGTTGTGATTTTAAATTGCAGGTTAAAAATAGCAGGGCAGAAAATTAATAGGGCATTTTCTCCTTCAACTCTTCAGGAATGAGGTAGGCTTGAGGGCTTGCTCACTGCAACTTGAGGAAGATCAGCTCTTCCTTATTTCTACTCTTTCTTGGCTAATCAGTTATAATGCTTTCATTTCCTCAAAGAAATGGAACACAGGAAGCCCTTGAACTGCTATCACAAGCAAGCAGCTTTATTACCTATTGATTTTCTCTAGGTCAGGTTTGGTCTGGCTCATGTTTGTAAACTAAAATTGTAGAGTGTCCCAGAGTTAGGGTTCAGATACTACCACTGCTGTTGTGCAGATCTGGTAGCTTTATGATTTCAGGATTCCAACCTCAAAGCATTCCCAGAAAATTAAGTGAATGAGAATTTAGTATACGACCAATAATTTTATTGCCAAAGGTAAGGAAAATATTTAACATAAAAAACTGGACCCTTGTACATGAAGGCAAGAGAATCAGCATGTGAAAGGTAGCATGTGAGGTCTATTTTTGTATTGCTGGACATCTGCTAAATGGTTTAATATTATTTTCACATGTCGTTTTGGGCTTTCTTCTGAGAGGTAATTACAAAATTAATCAAAGACCTTTCCAGATAAAACTGGTTTCAAAATGTCTGCATGCTGTGTCCCTTTTAGTATTTAAAAGTGAAATTGGATGGGCGCAGTAGCTCACGCTTATAATCCCAGCACTTTGGGAGGCCAGGGTGGGCTGATCACCTGAGGCCAACATGGTGAAACCCCGTCTCTCCTAAAAACACAAAATTTAGCCAGGCATGGTGGGTGGGTATCTTTAATCTCAGCTACTCAGGAAGCTGAGGCAGGAGAATCACTTGAACCTGGGAGACGGAGTTTGCAGTGAGCCAAGATTGCACCACTGTGCTCCAGACTGGGCGACAGAGCAAGATGATGTCTCAAAAAAATAAAAAAAGGGAAATTATGGTCATCTCTTTGATAATTTGGATACTGAAAGGACTATGAGATTATCCTCATGGGTATAAAAGATAATATGAATAGTAGATAAAAATTAAATTTGATTGGGAAAATGAACATATTCAACTGGAAGGAGTGGGGTGAGTAATGAAACACAGGGACTCAGCTTTAAGGGATGGAGAATTACTTAGGAAAAATATGTGCAAGCCCAGATAAGAGAGGTGAGTCTTTGAAAATTCTGATTCAAGAGCTGAACAATTGGCTGCTTTCCAGAGAACAACAAAATGATAATACAAAATTGACTTAATGAGATGAGATTAAAGGAGTTAATTATAAAGAACTTGGAAAAGTAATTATTAAGATGCTAGATGGGACTCTCCCAAGATTTGATAGCTCGAAAGCACTTTGAAGCCTTGATGATTGAAGTGTACTGCACAGGTGCACAGACAGGATGTCCACCCAGACAGGAAATGAAGTGTTTACCAAGACACAACATATGATGTAATTAAATGAAAATACATCCAATAGAGCTGAATGTCAAGGAAAACTTTTTTGTCACCTAATTTAATAAATAGATCAATTATGTACTTAGTTTTCCTGGGAGCAGGAGAGGATGGTGAAATATTAGTTGCTAAGGAGGTTTAAAATTGGGTGTAGGGTAGGAATAAATATTTCCTGGAGTAGACTAAAAGAACCGACCATGTTTTCCTGTCACGTCCATTTACATAATTCTTATACTACCTTGATGTTGCCAGGGTATGTGAGTGTTATTTACTATTACAGATGTATAGGTTTTTTTGTGATTTTAATTCCTGGTTTGTCCAATTAATTGCTCTGTCTTCTAGATCCAGAGGTTTGCTGTTGAAGTAGCATTAGCACTTGCCAGTGTGTGACCTGTGGAAGGTGACCACTGTCTAATCCAGTCAGTTATCCCATTCCCTTGATGAGGCCCTCTTTTAAGCTCAATTCAAGGTAGTAACAATAGTCCTAACTTTATGAGGATTCTCTGTATGTGAGTAGAACTGCATAGATTCTGGAACAGTGTCTAGTAGGTTGCAGGCACCTACTAAAAGTTTGCTGAGTGAATGAAAAGTCAAAAATGAATGTATCCTTCCAGGCATCAATGTGCTTTGCGTCAAGCAATACTAGTGTAAAATTCTCTTTTGTTGTATTTTTGCTTTTTCTTTTCAATATAGGAAAGGTGATTTCTCATAGATGCTGCACCTTGTAAATCTGACCTCTATTTTCTCGCTGGTGGTACATCTGCTGCACTTATGCATACATTGTTCCTTTTCATTTCCAGAAGATCCGCTTAGCTCCCTGATACAGAATCAGAGCCTAGACTGTCATTTCACAAGGGCATTGAGCACAATGAAACTGTGGAACTTTGAAACTTATTATTATGCTTCACATTTTTGTAAACTTCAAATAACCCTGGAAATTTTCCAGATTGGGTATAGAGTTATTTAACTATAAATAACTCTTTTAGGTATAGTCAATGATTTTCAATTATTATGCCAATTACATTCATTGTATTACTTAGCGGACTTTATGGTAGGTTACAGAAATACATACTTTGAAAAGAAATGTACTCTTTCTGCAAATGAAGCTGTGCCATCAACAAACAAACTCGACCTCTAATTCCCAAGTTTATTACAGAAAAATCTGTAGCATGAAAAAGGCCAACATCTCCAGCTCATCTTCTCAGGTATCTATGAAGAGTCCATACAAATGCCTTTCAGATTTTCCCCGGGAATGCTCTCAGAACTGACCTTGATGAAGGGAATGCCCACTTTCTGATTCACTGGAATTTGTTGTAGTCAAAGTAAGGCACAAATATCGAAGATAAACTTGGTACAGTATGTAGTGCCTTTAGCTATTAAATGCAACTTTAGGTGACTACTTGACATTTTGACTTCATTGATTTACTAAAGTTTTGAGAATTTTATTAACGACCACTGTTTTCGTTCATTCTGTTTTTTTAAATTTAAAATATATTATTGTAGTCATTTCTGTGAAAATAATGGCATTAAGTCTTTTAATCAGGGGCACGATCTGTTACCATAATATTCTTTTAATGGGAAACCAAGTAGAAATGGATAATTGTGACTTTTCCAGGAATGGAGACTATGGAAAATGAGACAATATAAATACATTACAGTATGGGTGTGCATGTTCACACTCCACACCATGAATGCGGTAAAAGAATCTCTAATCACTATAGTTAGTGCTTTGCATGTTGTTTCTAGTCTGGGTATAGCTGGCATCTTCTTAACAAAAGGAATTCATCACTTCTGTTTGGAATTATTCTCTATCAACCAGAACCCTCAACCCTGCATCCTAGGCTTGGACTGCAAGTTGCATGATCCCAGACCCCTTTGGCTTCAATCCCTGGCAGGAGAAGGGAGAGAGAACAACTAGTTCAGACACAACCATCTGGTTCAGCTTTGGTACTGCTTCATTAATTCTTCTATCTCCCTCTAATCCTATTTTTGACTGTTACATTTGTCCTAGTAGCATGTTAGGACATGCCTGTTGGCTATCGAGATTCATGGGACAGCAACGCAACAAAGCTAGCCATAGTATTTGCTCTCTCTAGCCTTGCCCTTTATCCTGTCCAGTGAATATCAAAACAGGTAGAAAACATGCCTAAGGGATTGTCTCTGCCACCACCTCCATATGCATTTAACCAGCAGTCCTATCATACAGGTTGAATTAGTTTATGTAGAACAAGTCATGAACACTTTAGTGTGGAAAAATAGAATTATATAAAGCTTAATATTAAACATTATGAAAAACATATTTACAGAAGAAACTACAAAATACAACTATGTACAATAATATGTTACCTTTAAATTATATAAAATTTTAAACATTCTCCAGATTAATAAATTATACATAGTATCAACAGAAATAGCTGGCACCTCTATAGGGCATGAAGCAAGTTTTTATAAACAAATCACACAGTGAATAATTTTTATCCAGGAGCTCTTCAGGTACATTCTTAATGCCTTGAATAGACTGGATCTGAAAGGAAGAACACTGAAATTAGAGGCAGCAGCAGGGTGTGTCATAGTGGTTTATGAAAATTATCAATGCAAAAGACCGGCAGAAATGAATAAAGCTCAACATGGTCTAAGGTGAGAACATTCCTATGGGGACCAGGTCATTCCAATTAGAAACACAGATTATTAGACTTGGAAGGGACTAATAATTCTAGCCCATCTCCTCTGTTTTTATGGATGAAGCCATAGGCCCAGAGAGGCAGAGTAACTTACCCACGTTACACAGCTTGTTAATGCTAGTTAGTTCAAGAGTTTGGACCTGAATCTTAGCCTTCAGTGCCTGGTGGTTAACTTTTTCTATACCATAGTTAGCTTCTTTCAGGGGTGCCCAAGATTACTAAGATTCTCAGACAAGTCAAAACAAGACAAAGGAACCTCCCAGATCCCTCAGAACTTGCTCTATCCTGAAGCTTCTTAAGGAATCTCCAATTCAAAAACCTTAAATGACTATACAGATAAATTAGGGGGTAATTATTTATCATACAAAAGATTATCTGATTTACAAAGGACTCCTCTAAATAGTAGCTCTTTATTTGTGCTTTGTAGATTGTTAACTCATTAATATACTGGCTACGCTTGATGAAACAGAGAACTAAGTAAAAGGTTAGGAGACAGCCGGGCGAGGTGGCTCACGCCTGTAATCCCAGCACTTTGGGAGGCCGAGGCGGGTGGATCACGAGGTCAAGAGATTGAGACCATCTCGGTCAACATGGTGAAACCCCGTCTCTACTAAAAATACAAAAAATTAGCTGGGCACGGTGGCGCGTGCCTGTAATCCCAGCTACTCAGGAGGCTGAGGCAGGAGAATTGCCTGAACCCGGGAGGCGGAGGTTGCAGTGAGCCGAGATCACGCCATTGCACTCCAGCCTGGGTAACAGGGGCGAAACTCCGTCTCAAAAAAAAAAAGGAGGTTAGGAGACACTGAAGATCATTTACAAATGGAGATAAGAGCGTGTGAAATAATGTCTGTCAAAGAAAGATTATCTGATTTATAGAGAGAGAACAGTCCACATGGCAAGGAATTGCTGGAATTACAAGCTTGAGCCACTGCGTCCAGTTAGAATCTTTTTCTTTTTCTTTGAGACAGGATCTTGCTCTGTCACCCAGAGTGGAGTGCAGTGGTGTGAACTCAGCTCACTGCAGCCTTGACCTCCCAAGCCCAAGTGATCCTCTCCCTCAGCCTTCCAAGTAGCTGGGACTACAGAGGATGTCTGGCTAATTTTTTTTTTTTAATTTTTTGTAGAGACGGGGTCTTGTTATGTTGCCCAGGCTGGTTTCAAACTCTTAGGCTCAAGTGATCCTCCTGCCTCAGACTCCCAAAATGCTGCAATGTGAGCCTCTGTGCCTGGCCATACTGACCATATCTTAATGAAGGAACTCGGAAGTTAGTAAAGTAAGTGCCTACCTCTGTGATACTCTGGATTCACATTTTCGTAGATTGGAAACAAGGGGTTTTCTTGTTCACTCCGTAGTTTCCTTGCTCTGAGGACATCTCTTACACACTGATGCAGGTAGACATACTGACACTGTGGAAAAAAAGAGACATGTCAGAGGAGGGCCTGTTCACATGCAGAAGAAAGATGAGGCACTCTCACAAAATACTGACAGTGATGGGATTGTATATAGTTAGCAAGTTTCTTGGTCATCATTTTACTAACGGTCTCTGATAAATAAAACAGTGACTGTCTTTTATTACCACTGAAAAGAGAACAATGGTAATGGGCAGAGAGGTGGCATTTTTCATTCTTTTAATATTTATGTATATATATGTGGTGTGTTCTGTGAGCACCTATAACTGTGTCTAGTACATAGTAGGTCTTGCACAAATTCAGTAGATGAACGAATGCCAAACGCTACTATGTAGTTTACATACATTATCTCGTTTAATGATTTCGACAACCTTGTGAAGTAAGTGTAATGATCAGTATAAACTAAGACTCAAAAGTTGAGTAACTTCTCCAAGGTCACACAGCTAAGAAATTGGGCCCTGGGATTTGTTCTTGGAGATGTGACCTCAAATTTCATGTCTTTTTCACTATACCAGTTTTCATAGATGAATCCCAATTTCATTGCATAACTGAATGAGAAAATCATTTCACTGCATACTCTGCTGCTTTGTTTTCTTTATTCTGGGAATACAGTGGGAAAAAAAAGAGGTATGAACAAGAAACGCTGCTGGACTGTTAGTTCTTTGAGTGCAAGGTCAGTGTCTTATCCATCTCTGCTCTCTCAGCATCTGAGTCTGCCACATGGAAGAATCTTGAAGATGCTGGCTGACTGCAGAGAACTACAGGGGTTACAGAGTGAGGACAGACCCACCTGTCAGCTATTTGAGAATTTACTACTTTTGAAATATAAATGAATATAGGAGTCAGTGCTTTGGTGACCATAAAGACCTCCACTGACCACTGTGTCTCAGCCACAGGCAGCCAAGCTTGTGCATTGGGCCCCCTTCCTTATACTCCCTGAGCTCTCTTATAAGGAAATAGATGTCTGTGAAACCTTCCCTTGCTGATATAGCAACTGCTCAGAGGGAGTTGTGAGCAGTGAAGAAGACTGGGCTCTCAGCAGCCTCTAGCCAGCCTAGGCTGAGCCATCAGGCTTCTTGGGATCCCAGTTTTCCCGTTTATTAAACAAGGAGGCAGTGGTCTCTTATAGCTAACAGCCTTTGTCCATTAAAAGATACAGGTTGATGTCAGTCAGATAGATATTGGAAAATATTTCCAAACCTCGTGTTTAAAGCAATCAGTGCAGTCAGTCAAAGTATTTTAGAGGTTTGAGATACAAAGTAGAACAATTCAATCTTTCCTCATTAACAATCCTACCAAGTAAACAGGTACTTATTTTTATGGATTGGCACTAGATACTGTCCCTGATTGAAAGCCAGCCTGGTCATCTATCCATGGGACTATATAAGGTAGGTCTGGGATAATCAATAGATAAGAACATTTAATTTTTTTTTTAAGAGACAGGGTCTTGTTCTGTCACCTAAGTTGGAGTACAGTGACACAGTCATAGTTCACTGCAGCTTTGAACTCCCGATCTTAAGTGATTCTCACACCTCAGCCTCCTGAGTAGCTGGGATTACAGGTGTGCACCATCAGGCCTGGACAAATTTTTTAAAAAGTTTTTTAGAGATGGGGTCTTGCTCTGTTGCCCATGCTGGTTTGAAACTCTTGGCCTCAAGCCATCCTCCTGCCTTGGTCTCCCAAAGTGCTAGGATTACACTGTGCCCAGCCTAGATAAGGACATTTTAAACAACCAAATCAATAAAAAGTAAGACCTGCAATAATATTGATAACTGTTCTCTGCTTTTCTGCTCACAGACATTTGTCATTATGAATGTTATACACAATCTCAATACTATTGAAAGTCTGAGAAAAGTATTCTCCAGAGAATGGTTGTTAGTATAAAGCAGTCTCTCTTTGCTAACTTAAAAGGATCCACCAAATTATAGACTGACACCTCCCTGTTTTCTCCCACCCAAAGCGTAATTCATATTTTCAATTCTACTAGGATATTAAATTACTTTGGAACCTCAGCTGTGAATGAACTCTAGTACATGTGTGCTGTGGCCTATTAATGAATTCTTTATCAATGATTCACCATGGGCTTTGAAACTAGTTAATATCCATTAATTTGCCTTGCCTTAAATATAGATTCTTCTTTTCCCAATAGAATGTCCCTTTGAAAATGATTAGTATCAAAATGATGAGATTGTTAATGTGCTTCTCATTTTATTCTTAAGGAAAAGTAGACAAAGCCTAACACATGAACCTCAGATCACAGAAGATAATTTTTTGCTAATTGGTGAAGGCTTGGCTGAGTATTGACACATTCAGTTCCATTCATTCAATTTCATCAATATTTGCAGTGTCAGATATTAATTACAGTGTCATAGTTACCGTCTTCTGTGATCCCTGAGGGCATGGTTTAGTATTAAGTGAACAATTACCTATAAGATGATCAGCATAAATTAGAATTGTGTTTAAGGCTTCATGTAGAAGAGAAAGCCATTAAGTTCACTTTTAGGGGAGGAAAGAGAAGAGGGGATATTTATAAGAATTCAAGAAAAGAAGTAGGGTAACATAGCATAACATTTCACATATATTCTGAAACCGTGAGAAGTGCAGTGCAGCTAAAATCCTGGTTGCGTGGGTCATGGGAAACACCTCAAACAATACCCCAAATGGAACCTGAGATCCTTCATCCAAAACATCTCAGTGTTTCCTTCCCAGGAGGAGCAAATGAAATTGAGACTGTGACTATCATCTATTGTTCTTTAACAAATTATTGCTCTCTGAATGTTTCTCTCAGGGTCAAGCTGCAAATTTCCCTCAAAGCAGTATAAAAGAAGGAGGAATGCTCACAAGTCCCCTGATGGATGCCTCTTTGTTTAGAAATGCTTGCTGTTTGATACAGTCATCAAAAATTGTGAAGACCTGCATCCCTTTGTATCTCAAGCAAAGACAGAGGTAAGTTGAAGTTCACTGTCACCATAGACCCAAAAAAATAATGCAGGGGGTCCAAATGTCCTCCATCTTTTGCTGAAACAGTCACCCACAGGGACTTAGCCTTGGATCATACCCCTCTGCACCCACTCCCATTTACCAAATGCCAGCTGGCACCAGGGATTCTGATCCTGTAAAAACAACTCAACTTCAGCAGAGACTTAAAGCAAGACAGATGATATTAGGTTGGTGCAAAAGTAATTGTCATTACTTTTAATGGCAAAAACCACAATAACTTTTGCACCAACCTAATATCTGGATAGGATTTGGAATTTTGTTTGAGAAAAAAGAGAAAGAGAAAATTTTATCTTACTGTAATGTTTATTTCATTATGATGGAACGACTCAAAGTTGATTCTGGCCCAGGTGGCTAAACCTTCCTTAATTTGGCAGACCCTAACCACTGGTGGTGTCTAGTACGATGACATGAAGCTGGAGGAGTAAGCTGGGGCCAGGTTATGAAGAGGCTATGCAGGATGGGGTTTGAACTTCATTTTACAAGCACTGGTGAGCTTTTCATGATTTTTATGCAGGGAGCTGACAAAGTCAGCAAGGGAACTTTGATGGTGGCAGGGGTGGCTGAAGGATCATTAGGGCAGAACCGAAGGCCGGGGACCCACTAGGAGGCTACTCATTAGCAGGGATAATAAGAGTTGATAAAGGGCTATGTGAGGGCAGTGGCAGTGGGGTGAGAACTAGCACAAAGAGAAGGAAAGGACTTCATGATTGCTTGGATGTGGGAACTGGAGGAAAAGAAATCTACTCCATTGAGCCCAGGAATTTGAGTCTAGCCTGGTCAACATAGTGAGATATTTTCTTGCTTGTCTCACTATGTAAATAAACAGAAAATAGAAATAATAAGCAGATAAATGCACATATCCATGCGTGTAAGCATGCCAGGTGTGGTGGAGCACACCTGTAGAAGATCGCTTGAGCACAGACTTTGAGTCCAGTCTTGGCAACATAATGAGGCCCCATCCCTTAAAAAATATAAGAAGTCAGCTCCCTGGCTTGGGCAAACACATGGATGGCAATACTATTAAATGACACTGGAAGGAGCAAGAGCAGGAGGAATGTTTTTATTGTTGTTGTTTCGCTTTTTGAAAGAATGAATGAATTTGGCTTTGATCTTTTTGAAGTTAGATGGTTGTAAGGCTTTTGGGGGCATCCGTCTGGTAGTCATGTACTTACATGTCTGTGGAGGCAGAATTAGATTTGGGTAACATGAGCCTGTACAGGAATGGAAAATATTACAAAGAATGAAGATTGAGAGAAAGGGCGGTGCCTTGAAGACAGATCTTGGTGAAGTCAAACATTGAGAAGGCAAGCTGAGGAACTAAGCCACAGCATCCTCAGTGAGGCCCGAGGAAAAGGAAAACAGAATAGGGAAAAGATGGAGTTATTTCTAAGCAGAAAGAGCTTTGCACATTGTGTTACCTCTGCTCTGAAAGTCAGCCAGTGATACTGACAGTAGAGTCCCTCCTGCTTATCAAATGCATCATGAGTTTGGGGTAAGTGTATGGACGTGATAGATGGCCCAAGAATCCTCTGACAATTACTAGACAGCCTACACACACACACACAAATACACATAGTTCAAGACTATTTATAATATGATAACCTCCTCTTCCCCAAGTTACAAATTAATTAGGGTTTGAGTTTGTGAAAGTGACAGTAAACTAACAAATATTAATGCTTTTTGGCAACGTAATTGTAGGATGTTTCTTCATTCGTTTAACAGATTAAAAAACACTGAGGATATAGAGAAGGAAAACAGGTTCCCACCCTCTAGAAATGCACAGTCTTGTGGAGGAAAACTGAAGGATAACAATTATGATACAGGGTAATATAATTCAGCAACCTTTAATGAAATAGCAGAGCTAGGCAGAGGTCATCAGTGGCTGCTAACACCATTAAGTGAAAGGTTGAGGTTGACTGGGATAATGAAGGGTTCAGGCTGACACCCCCTGAACTCACTGTCAGTTTCCTCAGTGCTGAAAGAGAGACAGACGTGGTGATCTGCTTTCTGATGTCATGCAACAGAAAGCCCTTAGTACCACCCACGGAGCACTGTGTTGGTGAAACAAACCTGAGTTTAATCAGGCCTCTAGATCTAACCACCAGCTGACAAAAACCACAGAGAGTAGAATATATTACCACCACGAACAAGCAATCAGCACATCTAGAATGTGGGAAAATCTATGGAACAAATGAACTGGTTTCTTTAACAAATAAATGGCATGGAAAACAAAGGGGAGAGAGGATTATAGATTAAAAGAGATTTCAGAGACATGCCAACCAAATGAAATATGCAAACTCTGGATTCTAGTAGAAACCAACTACAGTTTTTATAAAAAGTATTTAAAAAGTATTTTTTGAGATAATTAGGGATATTTAAATACTGACTGCATATTAGATGATATTTAGGAACTATGGTTAAAAAGTAGATGTGATAATGGCATTATGCTCATAATTTTAAAGAGTCCTTATTTCAAATATACATATATTTATGTATACATGTTCACATGTATTCATGCAATGTCATATCACACATGTATACAAGCACATACCTGTAAACACATATACACATATAGGTAATGTGACATGTACTACACATGCATATACATCTATATATGTACATGTGTACACATGCGTATGTGCATATGCCTATGTATAGACATAGGTATATGTGTATATACATATATATGTATATTTAAGGATGAAATAATGTGATAAGTGGGATTTGCTTTAAAATATTTCAATGGGGTCATGTCTTGGGGTAGGGGAACATTATATATAGGATACAGTTGGGAAAAGAACACAGAATGCTGATAATTATAGAAGCTGGGGTTTGGATACATGGAAACTCATTATACTACTTTCCCTAGTTTTGTATAGATATATTTTAATTTTTTTGCAGAGATGGGGTCCTGCTATGTGGCCTAGGCTGGTGTCAAACTCCTGGCCTCAAGTGATCTGGCCACCTGGGTCTCCCAAAATGCTGGGATTACAGACATGAGCCACAGTACCCAGCCACGTTTTGCACATTTTTAAAAAAACAATTTCATAATAAAACATTGAAAATATGATGGAATCATTGTTATAATGAAAGTACTCGCAGTCCAGGACAATAGTGGTGGCAGAGGATCCTGCCTTCAGAAGACAATGATGCCATTGTTTTGTCAAATGTTAATTTTGCAGGATATTTTTAATGTTTATTTCTCTTGTTCAATTGTTGCTGGCTTGAATGCAGCATATTAATATGTAGTGTGCAAGAAAAGACTTCAGGGGTCAAGGTGGTTTTGGGAATAGTAGGTTCAATGAAGCTCAAATGGGGCCTTGGCTCTAGGATGCTCTCTTTTCGTGGAACATTGCTGTCTGTGCAGTGGCCACAGGTACTATAACTCTAAGAGGGGATACAGAAGCATGTGGAACTTTTTACTTTTCCAACCATGGATTTTTTTTTTTTTTTAATTCTTGGGCCATTTATCACTTCCATACACTTGCCCCAAACTCGTGATGCATTTTGGCAACCAGGAGGGACTACACTGTCAATATCACCGGCTGACTTTGAGAGCAGAGGTAACACAACGTGCAAATAAGGGTGCTGCATAGTTACTACTTTGAGAAAAACTTGGGAAACATAAGGATAAGAGAACTTGAGCCTCGGAAGGCACTGATGCAGAGGAGTGACTGCTTGGTCTCTGTCGGGGAAGAGATCTGACTGGGAGGCTAGTAGGCTTAGCACTTGAGGGCTCAGGATTCTCTAGAACAGTGACCAAGCCACCTCAGCCACTTCATGGCTGTGGGCTTTGTGCAAAGCCCTTAAGCTTTTGGACCTTCATTTTCTAGTCTGGAAATGGAATATATGTCTCACCTGGTTTTTGTGAAAATTTATTGAGATGACATGTTCAAAAATGCCCTGCAAATGTCAAAGGGCTGCACAAATGGAAGCATGTGGTCTTTACGGCCTATACACACTCCCTTGGTGTCTTCTGAAATGGGATGTAGATGGGGGGAGAGGAGACATTAAGATCTTCATTCCTAACTGAAGTGCTTGTGCTCATCTGCCAGCCTGCCTTAAAATGATCCCCAAGATGGTCACCTTCAAGACCAGTGAGATTTAGAAAATATCTATATTCAGTGCTCTTTTTCTCTTCGTAATGTGTCATAGTTATTTCCCCTTGTCAGATTCAAGTCCTGGATATTTTTCTGTGGGGATATCGTGGGGAAGAAGGTGGCTTGTAACTTTCAGCCTGTAACTCTTACCTCGGTCTGGACCATGTGAACCCTGTGAAGTCTTAGGTCGTGCACGGCTCCGTAAATGTCCACAGTGTCTTTGGAGTCTAACTGCTGGAGGATTCGGTCCAATGCAATGAAGGTTCCCGTCCTACCCACACCAGCACTGGAAGAGATGGGAAAGGAAGATTGAGCCTTTTTGTTAAATTTACCTTTCAAGATTGCATCAAAGACTCTGGCACAATCTTTCTTTTCTCTTCCCAGTTATGGGAGAAGATAAGAATATTTCTTTCTCTCAGTGTGCTCTTTTCCTCTTAAGCAAGTTTAACCTACTGTCCCCTGAAGCCTACCTCCGCACAGCCTTCTATCTCTTTCCACTCCCTTCCTGTCCCTCCTCCACTCTACCAGGGATAAGCGGTGCTCTGCACTTTCTATGTCTCATTTCCATGCATGCTTTTTAATACTTTTCCTACATACATGTTTTAGGTATCTTTGTCAACTTTCCTACTCAATATTATGTTTTCAGATTTATCCATGTTGCTACATACAGATCTTATTTCTTTCCATCTTTTCTTCTCTCTCCCCTCCCTCCTTCTCTCTCTTTCCCTCCTTCCTTCCCCCACCTCCCTTCACAGGGTCTTGCTCTGTTGCTCATGCTGGAGTGCAGTGGCACAAGCATAGCTCATTGTAGCCTCAACCTCAATGTCCTAGGCTCAAGCAATCCTCTCACCTCAGCTTCCTGCGTAGCTGGGACCTCAGGCATGTGTAATTACTCCCAGGTAATTAAAAAAAAATGTAGAGATAGGGTTTCTCTTTGTTGCCTAGTCTGGTCTCAAACTGCTGGCCTCAAGTGATCCTCCACCTTGGCCTCCAAAGTGCTGGGAAAGGCAGGATATCCCACACCCAGCTGATCTAATTTCTGTTAACTCTCTTCATAAACCACTGGTAATCCAGTGGAAATGAGATCATTTTTAGTTTTTCTTTATTAAGACGTGTTGCAGTGAACATGCGTCAGTGTGGAGATTTCTCAGGAGTTGATACCTAGAAGCAGAACTGTTGGGCTGGTCATAGGGCATGAATACCTTCAACTTCACTAGGGATTGCCAAATTGCTCCCCAAAATGGTTGTATTATCTGGGGATTTTTGGTACACAGATTTATAACATAAAGAACAGTTCTCCAGTGGTCCTGTACAAAAATGCCTGCCATTTTTCAGAAAGCAGAAAGCTCTGAGTACCTCACCTTCCTGTTGAAAGTGTCAAGGTTCCAAGGACATAGGAAAGTAGCGCTCTTGGGTGCTGGGCTGACAGGGAGGAGACAAGTACACTTGGCATTTCTCTTCCTGCTGCAGTTCCCTGCTCCTTGTTTATTAGTACCATTCAGTCAGGGCTATCACAGTGTTACTGCAAACATTAATTAGCCAAACACCAGGCTCCCCGGAGAGAGCGAGATTTTATGGACCTAACAATATTATGAAAACTTTATATTGAGTAGGAAGGTTGACAAAAAGATGCATAAAACATATATGTAACCATTTCAATACATTTTTGAAACATAAATATGTTGTTTATAGATTTACATGTATGTAGGAAAAGTATTAAACGCGTAGAAATAATAGCAAGTGAAGAGAAATTTGAGAGAAAAAAATAGGTGCTACAGATGGCAACTGCTATGCTGTAGTTTGAACATTTGTGTCCCCTCCAAAAAATTCATGTTGAAACTTAATCTTCAATGCAACAGTATTAAGAGGTGGAGCCTTTAGGAGGTGATTAGGCCATGGGGGCTCAGCCCTCATGAAGGGGATTAGTGCCTTGTGAAAGGGTTGCAGGGAACTAGCTAGGTCCCTTTGCCCTTCCATTCCTCCCTCCGTGTGAGGACACAGCCACAAGGCACCATCCTGGAAGCAGAGACCAAGCTCAAGAGATAGGAAACCTGCCAGCGCCTTGATCCTGGACTTCCCAGCTTCTAGACCATGAGAAATAAATTTCTATTACTTATTATCCAGGCTGTGGTATTTTGTTTTAGCCACACAAATAGACCTGCTACTAGATCTGGAGGGAAGATTAGAAAGTAAATCTTGAAGGATGGGTAGCACTTAGGTGGAACAGAGAAATAAAGCCATTCCAAAACAGAAGAGTAGCCAGAGGCAAGAATAGGTTTGTGTGCTCACTCTTCTGGCTAGAATGGGAAAGGAGTTGTTGGGAACTCAGACGGAAGGTGATACATGCCTGATGATGGAAAGCATGGAATTCCCATCAGGACTTCACATTTCAGAAAGTAGGAAAAGAGCAAGAGGGAGAGAAGGCTGGGGAGTGAGGGCGAAGGAGAGGCTAGAGGGGAAGAAAGTGGAAAAAGAGAAACCAGGGAAGAAGAATGGCGTTGGGAGAAGGGGAGGAATGTTGTTATAAAACTCCCTGGGGGTGAGGCAGGCTGGCTGGTCCAGACAAATCCTCCATCCACTGAATTCCCCATGCTTATGTCTTTTTCCAGGCTCCTAGGCACAACCCCCATACGGCTGCCGTTTGGCTCCTAGATCTCTGCGTACCTGCAGTGCACCACAGTGGGCCCAGCACCTGGGCTTCTGTTGATGTAGTCCCTGACAGTCCTCACAAACTGGATCAGAGACTGAGTGGTTTCCGGGACTCCATGGTCTGGCCACACCGTATAGTGAAAGTGGCGGATGAGTCTGTGTGCATCGAGCTGTTCCTCCTGTAAGAGCAGAGAGCAGGATAGTAAGAGGACAACTGAGCCATGGAGCAATTCCTATGGGCTGAAACTACGAGAGAAGAACCAGCAAAAGTGGGATTAGCAGGTCTCCTTCATCTCCCCCAGCTGGGTTGTTAAATGAAGTCATAAGCTAACATACAGTGCATATCTTAAACTCCCGGATGGTCCACTCAGGCAGGACGGACTCTGAGAGCATCTGCAGGATGAGGTCCCCATAGTAGAGGGAATCCTGGTCCGCTGGCCAGTAATGATCACACTTTACCTAGAAGATGACAGACAGAAACAACGTGAGTCCAGAAAAATGACTCCTTGTGAACCTGAGCTTTCCCTCCTCTAAACGCCTTCCTGAGTTAGTTAGGAATTCGGGATCAGCCGCTAAAGCAATTTGACCATCTACTTTACATTAACCTGCTCATGGCCAGCGCTGAAGCTGAGGTGCTGCTGCAAGTGAAGGGGAGACCCTGCGTAAGGAGCACCCCCAAGCCCAATCTGTAGATTCACTCACTCTCTTAGGCCTAGGGATACATGACTTGAGGGTTTTTTCTTTTTTTAAATTGATTTTCTTAGCATTTCAGTTCCACTAGCAGGTAAACTATGGTTCCCAATTCACTGTTGTTCTTTCTAAAGAAATATCTAGTTGTGTAGAGGAAGGCACTGTCTTCCTGGCCCTGCTTTGTTTGTATTTATATGTCACTGTCCTAACTTGGGTCTTGTGCCAAGAGATCTTTGAGAAGTCAGAACGTTTAGCTAAGCTTGCCTTTATATGTGCACAGACAAGGACAAGAGGATTGTGAGCATGTATTTACTGAATGCAGATACTGGGCACTTTACATGTAATCTCTCTTTTAATCCTCAAAATAACCATATAAAGTAGAGGATGATAAGTGCATTACAAGGGGTTTGCTTAATTTGTCTGGATAATTCTTTGGCTTTGCGTCTGCCAACACAGCCTAAAACTCACTTCTCCTTTCCTGGGAGGAGGGGCAGGTTCCCCTGGCCATACACTGAAGATGGAGTAGCCAAGTGGCCAGGGCCAGGTAGTTTTTTGGTAATAATGGGCACTGCTGAAAATCCCAGTCCTCAAATGGAAACAGCTTTGACTAGCACTTCAGACCCAGAATCAGGCATCACCTGGGTTCACTATTAGTGATTTAAGTTAGAGTCTGTTCAAAGACTCTAACAATGTTCCCACATGATCGCTACTTGGTTTTGCGGGGTTTCACTTGGATGGAGGGGCAGAATTCTATCCAGGCGGCAGAAAGCAAAGCTTGGATGTCAGGAAGGCTGTTTACTCACTCGGCCCTTCTCAACACACTGGGTCACCATGACGATGTTGTGAACGTTTTGTTCCCACACCATTTTCCAGAAGTCATCCTTGGTGCCAGGAAGTGGTCCCTGAGTGACAATGTATTCTCTTCTGAAGTTGTTGCCCTGCAATGAATTTACAACATGGAGAGCTGGAAACAATGGGCCACTTCAGAACTATAAACAAAGGGTTCTTCAGATTAGATGACAGGGAGGCCTCTGCCAAGTCCCTGACTTCAGAAAAAGATACTAACACAAGTGTCAAGGCTTGGGAGCAGGAAGGACAAAGGTCAGAACGTTGAACTACTGTTAAGAGCCACATTCCCTTTTACTAGCCTGGGTCTATTCTGAAAGGGGGGTCTCAGGAAACAATCTAGAAAACACTTCAGCTTCAATTATATGTGTGTGAGGGCAGGGGGCAGGTATTTGTGTAGACTGTTTGAGGGGCTGTGATCAGGCTCTTTCCCTATTTAACATAGAAGAGTTTTAGTCATTTTAGATAATTAACTTCAGAATACTTTGGTAAGACATGTCTTGCATGGGAAGATAAACCTCTGTTGACTGAACATCTAATGTATCTTGGGTCAGACTGACTTAATCCAAACCATAATCCAAGAGCTGGATATTTTTTTTTTTTTTGAGACAGAGTCTCACTCTGTTGCCAGGCGCCAGGCTGGAGTGCAGTGGCGCGATCTTGGCTCACTGCAACCTCCACTTCCCGGGTTCAAGCAATTCTTCTACCTCAGCCTCCCAAGTAGCTGGGACCACAGGTGCGTGCCACCACGCCCAGCTAATTTTTGTATTTTTTAATAGAGACGGGGTTTCACCATGGTCTCAATCTCTTGATCTCATGATCTGCCTGCCTCAGCCTCCCAAAGTGCAGGGATTATAGGCTGGAGCCACCGTGCCTGGCCTGAGCTGGATATTTTCATCTATTCCTTCTGCACTACATCAATGACAACAATTCCTTGTCAATTCTAGTCGAAGCTCCTCTTTGCCTCTCCTCAGGGTCTCCACATTAGGTCACCTCTGCTGTTGCCTCCCAACCCCTCCCCACCAAAACACTGCCTCTCATCTGATGAATCCTTAATTTATCCTCAGCATGGAGCCTGCTCCGCTGAGCCTTCCTTTACCTTTCTCTCTGCTGGGGGATATTCTCCTCCTAGATGCCCCATGGCAACCTCTAGCCTCTTGCTACTGAGTGTGGTTCTCAGACTCAGATCAGCAGCACTGGAATCACTCAGAGACTTGTTAGAAATGCAGATTCCCAGGCCCCGCCTCGGCCCTGCTGGATCAGAATCTGCCTTTGCACAAGACCCCAGATAAAGCAGATGTCTTTCAATATAGAAGAGGCACTGCTGTGGCAGTTTCTCGTGGCATTGCCTTTTCTTGCCTAAACTCTTTTCTGAAAGTTTCTTTAGGGTCAAGATTCCATCTTATCCCATGCCTGTAAATAGCTCAGTGTTTGACTTAAAGTTAGCACTTAATTCATAAGTGTTTACTGAGTGAATGGATAATTGCTTGAAGTAAATATGATTATCTTCAGTGTTTGGAAAAGAAAATGGCGGCCCAAAAAAGTGACATAACGTGCCCAAGGTCACAGAGTCAACAAAGGGCAGAAGTGGGATTCAAATCTAGGTTTGCTTGACCTTAAAGCTTTTTCCACCACAGTGTGCTGTAGGAAGGTGGCAAGATGCTAAGCAAAACCAGAGCCCAAAGATTTGACATAACCTTTGAGTTGTGTCTGTGGTTGTGAAGAGTCCAAATAACATGGGATCAACTTCTCTAGCTAGGCAGCTTTAGCAGGGGAGGTCCATCTTCCTTAGGAAGCTCTCATCTCGGTTAAGGACTGCAGAGAGTAGATGACCTATGAAAATGCATCCTGGGCTCATTATAATTTCATTTGACTCTAGCCATTGTGCAAAATGTGGCTTTGCAGGAACTGAATTGGATACCCCATTTTTTTAAATGGCATTCAGACATGCTCTTGTGAAAGCTACAAGCATTTCCAGACCTAAGAATAGTGGGAACATGCAGGAGTGGCATCTCCAGTGTTGCCACCCACCAAAGCCTCATCCTGAACACTGTGGCCTCATAGTTCACTTACAGGGATGTAGCTGGCGTTGATGTAGTCAGAGCAAGGATCATCGTCTACATTGGACAGCTTCACTCGCGAGGCATCATCTGGAAGAAGAGATTTGCAGCTGAATCTTGGGGTGATTTTTCTATAGTTGATGTAATGTGTGTGATGTGCCTTAGTTCTGATCCCCACAGTAGCCCCAGATGGAAGGTGATCTTATCTCCATTTTTGCAGATGAGGCTCAGACAGGATCACTAACTTGCCCAAGATTGCACAGGTGGCCTGTAACCAGTCAGACACAGGAGACAACGTGAAGCTCCATCTGTGCTTCCCTTTGTAACATTGTCACATTTGCCTGGTGGAGTGGCCAGCTCCTTTTCACTGCTGGAATGAATGCAGTCCAGAAAACCTGCCTCCTATTGCTTTACCCAATGGGGTAAGGAAATTTAAGCAGAAATTGCTAACGGAAGACTTTGCTAAGCAAACCCACGTCTGCTTGATGTCAGAGCCCTTGCTGTTAACCCCATTACTGTTCTTAGCCTCCAAAGAGAAGCAGTAGGACCACATGGGGAAATGTCAACAGCATAAGAGTCCTTTCATAATCAGAATTTAAACTGGCTATTATCCCTCTAGAGGGAAGTGCAGAAATATACAAGTTATTTCTTATTAAAGTCATTCAGAGCTTGAGATTGTCCATATCCAGCTATATTATATATCTTTAGCCCCATTGAGTTTTTGGAGAAAAATGCAGAAATGGCTAGAGGAAGACAGCATTACAAATTTTGACACAAAACTTACAGGGCAATATATTGTTGTATCGATTTTTCCCTCTATTCTCTGGCAAGAGTGCAATGTCACATGACTGGTTTCGACCCACGTCTTTTAACTCCTGTTAGGTCAAAAATAAGTTTGTAAGTGGAGAATATAAATAGAATAAAGCATATCATACAGTCCTGGAGATATATAATATGAAAATATATACACTAGCCACCCACCACACCAGCTATTGTGTATGACTGCCTAGTACTCAACATGCATTAGCTCTGATCCCCACAACAGCCCCACAAGGGAGGTGTTGTCACTATTATACAAGTGAAGCTCAGACAGGATAACTGATGTGCCCCAGGTCACCCAAGTGGCAAACCCAAGAATCAAATCCAAAAGCTAGGTGCTTTTTCCAAAACCACAGCGTCTCCCAGCCAAGCAAATGGCTAGTCTGAATAATTGACAGCATTATGTCTGCATTTGAGATTTGGTAATTCTTCCTTACTGTCTGATCCTTGCTATGCTGTGTTATTCTGGAACTCAAGCTGACCTCTGAGATTAGAAGGTACATTGCTCAGGGCATAGTTTTGGCATAAAAGAGTGCTCAGCTGAGATTCTAAGCAGCCTCCTAACTTCTGAGTCCAATCAGCCTATGATTACACAGTAAACGTTAGGAGGGAAATTCTGCTGAGAACTAGGGATGCTGAAGCTTCATTCTGCCCAAGTTGTACCTCGTATTCCTTGGATAGAAGGTAGTTGGAGTCAGCCTGCAGCTTCATGAAATGCCCTTCAAACTGATTTATTTTTATTGGACTGTAATTAAAAACGAAAAAGAAAAGAGAGTTACTGCAGAAAGGGGAAAGTGCCATAACCATTCTGATGCATGTTTCAAAGGCAGATAATAAAATAATTAATGTGTTCTCTCTCTTACCAAGATGTTTTCCGGTTACTGTGAAGGGAAGCCAAAAGAAGAAGACTTTGTTAGCAAATCTCACATGATACCATCTTTCAATAAATTATATGAAGGCAAATGTGGTGCTTACCCTTTCTGGCCCAGGTTTAAGTGAACAGATAATGGTCGATCCCTACGAATGCTCAGATGGGCAGAGGATCTTTCTCCACCATGGCTGAAACATAAGGGAGAGAACTTTTATTTCAATTATGATACTTGGGTTGAATAAATTTTTCCATTTATGGTAAGGCTGTGCATGTTTATACAAATAAGGATTTTTCAGTATTCATGTAGATTTGCACTCAGCCAACACCTCTCTGAGGAAGGGAAAGGAAAGAGAATAAAGTAGATCATTCCCACCCAGAAACAGATCTCTGCAAAAACTGAAGATTTGTCTCCTAGTTTTTGGCTACAGGTTATAATCACTTCCCACATTCTCAATAAAACTTTGCTTAAAAAAAAAAAAACCAGTAAATTTCAGATGCCAGACACGACTTCAAGAAAGAGTAACATGTGCCAAATTAAGAAAAAAAAAATTCACTAAGAGAAGAAGGCACGACATTGGGGCCACATGCTATTTGGTTCTTTTTGGTCCCGTCTTAAATTAGGATGGAAGATACGAACTACAAAATGATGATGTCAACCACACTTTTCAGGATATTGCAGAAAAACACTTGGGCATACAATTTTCAAACATCTCTGTCTTCATGAGGATATGAACCACACACACATTTTTTTTTCCTGTGTAAAAAGAGTCACTTTGTCTTCAAATAAAGCTATAGATTGCCTCTCAGTCATTTGGTAAGGGCCACATTCATCAATGGGATATAAAAGAGCTGAGAAGCCTGGGTGTGGTGGCTCAAGTCTGTAACCCCAGCACTTTGGGAGGCTGAGATGGGTGGATCATGAGGTCAGGAGTTCGAGACCAGCCTGGCCAACATGGTGAAACCCCATCTCTACTAATAATATAAAAAAATTAACCAGGCGTGTTGGTGCATACCTGTAATCCCAGCTACTTGAACCTGGGAGGCAGAGGTTGCAGTGAGACAAGATCATGCCACTGCACTCTAGCCTGGGTGACAGAGTGAGACTACATATCAAAAAAAAAAAAAAAAAAAAAAACTGAGAAAAGTGAGACATGGCTTTAGAGTTTGACTTTTTTATTTTTATTGAGAAAACAGTGACAATTTAACCTGGAAAAATTAAATTATTTCCCTCCTTACTTTTCAGTCTAAAGGGAATTTTCAGTTGCATTTTTAAAGTTGCGAGTCCAATCACAAGAAGGATCTTTGTACTTACCTCACTTTCTGTCTGCAGATGAATACGGCAACAATAGCCACTAGCATGCCAATTAAAAACAGACCAGCACTCACACCTTCAATAGCTCCAAACAAGGGCTCTACAATAATCCAGATAGAAACAACAAATCCAGATGGGAAAATTAGTGCTAGGGAACCGGTAAGAAAGCAATAAAGCCATATCTCCCAAGTAATGTTATTACACATAGAATTCAAATGATGCCCATGATGAACCACTTACTTTCCAAAGGCTATGGGTATGCACCTAAAAAGATGAAAGGCTGGCTCCCACCCTGCAGCAGTGAGGCCAGATGCCACTGTGCACTTTTGAAGTTAATGGTGTCTAGCTTATAGAGGAATTTTGGACTTTATGCTTACATGTAAAGCTTGGGGCACCTAAAATAAAAGCTGTAAGTTTGCCACCAAGATAAAAATGCAATTTCTTTTATATAAAACATGTTACACAGCACTGGGGCTTTGGAAAATCCAGTGGATTTCTTGGAACTATTTTAACAAAGTCTTATTTTTATTATCTGGTATGATACTGCCACTGGGAGTTTATGAAGTGGCAAGAGTGGCCTCGTTTTAAAAATAGCTTTATTGAAATATAAATCACATAGCATGCAATTCACCCATCTAAACTGTACATTTCAATGGTCTTTAGTATAGTCACAGAGTTTTGCAAATGTCACCACAATCAATTTTAAAACAGTTTCATCACCCTCAGAAGAAACTGCATACCTACAGCAGTCAGCCCCTTTCCTCCTCCCCGAGATCTCTGGCAACTACTAATCTACTTTCTGTGTTTGTGGATTTACCTATTCTAGACATTTCATAGAAATTAAATCATAAATCCACGATCTTTTGTGACTGGCTCCTTTCATTTAGCATAATGTTATCTTTTATTTCTTTTTTTGAGACGGAGTCTCGCACTGTCACCCAGGCTGGAGTGCAATGACACATGATCTTGGCTCACTACAACCTCTGTCTCCCAGGTTCAAGTGATTCTCCTGTCTCAGCCTCCTGAGTAGCTAGGATTACAGGTGCATGCCAGCATGCCTGGCTAATTTTTGTATTTTTAGCAGAGATGGGGTTTCACTATGTTGGTCAGGCTGGTCTCAAACTCCTGACCTTGTGATCCACCCACCTCAGCCTCCCAAAGTGCTGGGATTAGAGGCGTGAGGCATCGCACTCGGCCTAGCATAATGTTTTTAAGGTTCATCCATGTTATAGCATATACCAAAATTTCATTCCTTCTTATGAATAATAGTCCATTGTATGGATATATCACATTTTGTTTATCCATTCATCCATCAATGGACATTTAGATTGTTTCTACTTTTTGGCTATTATGAATAATGCTGCTATGAACATTCACGTGCAAGTTTCTGTGTGGACATATGTTTTCATTTCTCCTGGGTACATAATGAGGAGTGAAATAGCTGGGTCATCTGGTAACGCTAAGCAACTATGCCATTTTACATTTTCATAAGCAATGTATGGAAGGTTCTGATTTCTTCATATCCTCACTAACTCTTGTTACTGTCTTTTTGATTACTGCCATGCTACTGGGTGCGAAGTTGTACCTTCCTGTGGTTTTGATTGGCATTTCCCTAATGACTAACGATATTAAGCAGTTTTTCATGTGCTTATTGGCCAACTGTACATCTTCTTTGGAGAAATGTCTATTCAGAGCCTTTGCCCATTTAAATATTGTGTAATTTGGCTCGGCATGGTGGCTCACACCTGTAATCCCAGCACTTTGGGAGACCAAGGCAGGTGGATCACAAGGTCAGGAGTTAGAGATCAGCCTGGCCAACATGGTGAAACTCCATCTCTACAAAAATACAAAAACTAGCTGGGTGTGGTGGCACGTGCCTATAATCCTAGCTACTGGGGAGGCTGAGGCAGAAGAAATGCTTGAACCTGGGAGGTGGAGGTTGCAGTGAGCTGAGGTGATGTCACTGCACTCCAGCCTGGGTGACAGAGCGAGACTCTATCTATCTTCAAAATATATATATACATTGTGTAATTTGTGTTTTTGTTATTGTGAGGTAAGAGTTTTCTATACGCTAGACACTTGCTCTTATCAGATATGTGATTTGTAAATATTTTCTCCCAATTCTGTAGGTGTTTTTTTACTTTCTTGGTAGTGTCCTTTGAAACACAAAAGTTTAAATTTTGATTAAATCCAAATTATTTTTTCTTTTGTAGCTTTTGCTTTTGGTGTCATAGCTAAAAAGTATTTTCAAATTAAGGTTACAAAGATTTACACCTGTATTTTCTTGTAAAAGTGTTACTGTGTTACCATTAAATTTAGGTATATGAAGTAGTCCATTTTGGAAGCTGCATTTTAAGACCTTAGATTTGTTTCTTCCATGTTGCTTTTCAAGACTCATCAAATCAACACAATCTTTCTTGAATGTGGTTAACATCTTTTTTTTGAATATATGTTTACTGTCTTCCTGTACTGGACTACATGCAATTTTTGTCATGTAACAATATTTCAAAAAAGAAAGAATTGTGTTTCAAAGTCCGTACACTAAATTATAAACAAAGACATCTAAAATCTGCTTAACTATATTCTCATCCCCCTTTGGCTTGAAAAGTGGGAGATTATCCCTATATTTAGCATAAATTGATTGGAATGTTTGTGAGGCTGAGTCATCTTT